GAGATATTTTCAGGGTTCCTTTGGAATGGATTGGAATTGGGAGAAGAGAAGGGGACTGGTGGTGGGTGGGGTGGGGACTCTGTTTGAATTTTGGGGTGTAATTTGTCAGTTTAGGTCTCTGGTGGGAGCAGTTCCATTTTTCCAAAAACTTTATAGGGCTTTTTCTCCAAGTCCGTGTTTGGGTTAGGCTTAAAATAGTTTGTTGTAAGCAAATAAGGGTCTGTTTGGGAGTGCTTTTTTTCCTAAAAAATTGATTTTTTTGATCATTATCTCACTATTTCAATCGTCATATTTGACTTCTTCTCTCACAAATGAACCTCACATTTTGCCTAACGGTCAAAAAATCAATTCTCGAAATCTCTCCCAAACAAGCTCTAAGTAAAAACTAGGGCGAGAGTGCTTACCATTTGCGTTGAATTGAGACACAGACTACTTGTTTGTGTGATACTTGACACGAAGATTTTTTGTAAGTAGTGCTTACTCATAAACAATACGCACCCCAAATTCATAAGCAGATGTGACATTTACTTTATTGTCATATATTAATTGATAGTTACGATTTTCAAATGTCATGTTTATACATTTTAATTCTAAAAAAGGTTATCAACCTGACAACCTTTACTTGTTGCCCTTACATCTCCAACTTTATTCCATTGCATTTTTATTGTCAATCTTTTATTATTTAACACGTCTCTTTTTAATGATGATTTTGTTCAAAAAATACAAAAAAGTTTATTTTTTCCTTACATTTTTTCTTTAAAAAGCAAAAAATAAATAAATACAAAGGTTTGACAACATGTTTGCTCCTCACTTCAAATCACACTAACTTGATATTTGGATAAAAATTGTCATTAGACGTGATGGGCTGATTAATTGAGGGTTAAAGACGAGAATGCGACGAAAAAATAAAATATATAAATACAATAATTAAAAAAGGCTAGAACATTCATTGTAATTGACCATTCTATTTGTACATTTTTTTCACATCAATTTCACAGCACACACATGCAAGTGCGTGGGGTCCACGATTAAAATAATCGTAGACCTCACCTTTGTGAGAGGAGTGTGAAAATTGATATGAAAAAATGATGTACAAATAGGATAATTGTCATTGTAATTATGTTGTAAGACTTTCAAAAGTTCCATTTGAACTAGGTTGTGTGTCGGTGGAAGGAATTTTGGTTGGACCACACCATGAGTTGATTTGATGCAACTTTTTTATTTTATTTTTTCCCTTTTTCTTTTACTTCTTGGGATATTCACACGGCATGGGCCAAGTGTGGACCTTGGCTGAATGATAAAACCAACGAAATGTCCACAAATGCATAGCCTTCATAACAAAAGCAAATGTACAACTTGCCTAATGTTTAGTCTATTTCAATTTTGCTTTTGGTTTTGCCCCCATGCTCCATAAAAATGAGATAATTTGCAGATAGAATGTTTGCCTAAGTTAACTCATAATTGGCAAAATTCATGGTTTTCATTTTCTGCTGAATGCATGACATAAATATTGGGAGAACATTTGGCTGTCTTGATGAAAATGAAAATACACCTATTTTTTTCAAGATTCTGAATTTTAGGGAACTACAAATTTTGGATGTAATGGACTTGAAAACTAGCCAATTCTTACAATGCTTGAGTTATCTGTCACGAACTCTCGGATTTTTGAGCATGATCAAGCTTGAAACTTGTCCACGAGAAAAATGTAGAGTTTTACTGCTGCTTCTATTTATTGTTATGTTGCTATTGTTAATTGCACCGTGAATGTTTAGAAGATGTTCGCCCAGTAATTCTAAAGAATGGACCAATGGCCGTCAGATGTAGCTTTGCAAGGAAGGGGAATCAAGTAAACAGTGGAGAAAGCAGGGCAACCTGACTAGTGAACATCAAATTAATGGGGAAAATATGATGTGGGCAAGGGAAAAATAATGGAAGTACGACAAGTCATAATAATAATTCCAAAAAGGGAAGTGAAAGTCACAAGCAATCGAAACATATACCCACTGATGTTCAAAACCGGTTAAGCATGATGAGCGTCAACAACTAATG